CCCCAAAACCCCAAAACCCCAAAACCCCAAATAATGAGTTCTATATTACTGATCATTTGACTTTTATTTCAAATAATTGAAATTAAATGGATTAGGATTTAAACAATGCGAAGAAATATATTGGCAAGATTTACTCCTCGGAAGATCCTGCCGTCAGCTTTAATCTCATTGAACAAATCGGAAAAGGTTGCTTTTCTGGTGTGTTTCTTTGCTAAAAGGAAAATACTGAAGAATAGAGCTAGCAAGATTAAGAGTCTTAGACTTTCGCAATAAAAATCAACTTTGACAACTAGATTTTGACCGAGTATAAAAGAGCAATCGTGTTAAACGAAATGAAAACTATCAGAGAAGTTTAAGGACATCCAAATGTAATCAAGTTAATAAGCATTATTGAAAAAGGGTATGTTGTCTTTGCTAATAGTGACGAAAAAGTCTTAGCAGTTGCGAACATAGTACTAGAAGTTCTTAGAGGAGGGGAGTTATTTTATCACATAAAAATGTGTCAAAAATTTTCGATCGAAACAAGTTTGGGTTATTTTAAGTAACTTGTCACTGCATTATTGCACATCAATAAGTTAAATCTTTGTCATAGAGATCTGAAGCCGTGGAATATTATGGTAACAAAGGATCTCTCTCAACTCAAGATAATTGACTTTGGCTATGCTACACCTCTTAATATAGAGGAATCTTTGGATTAGAACAATTATCTCAAAGGTTTCTTAAGTGGGACCAAAAGCTACACAAGCCCAGAACTTTTCAAAAAATAAATTGACTCAAAGTTAGATAAGGCTGATGTGTTCTCCCTTGGAGTTGTTTTATTCAATTTGCTTACTGGAAAATATCCATTTTACAAAGCAGTTAATCCATAGTAGGATTATGTTCTTGAACAAGACTATTTAGATTTTCTTGAAGATCCAAGCTTGAAATTAAAAGAATATGGAATATACTCATCTGATTACGATTGCATGAAATTGAACTAGCTTTCTGATTTATTGAGAAAAATGCTTCTTCATGATATCACTGAGCGTATTTCATTCTAAGAAATACTTTAGCATGATTGGGTTACATCCACAAACTATAATTCAGATGATGAAATTTCATAAGAGCTTTTAAAGTTTTATCAAAATGATAAACAATCTATTTAATAAAAACAACCTACTTTGATATAAAAATCATTATTGCCGTATAGAGAGGAGCCACCAAGGTAAAATAAATTGGAAACTTATCTACATTTTAGTGAATACTCGACTCATATCCAAACTTACTTAGATATGGATTCTATAAACAGAAGGCTAGAAGATATAGCAAAGCTTGTAAATGGTTAGATAATTCCACAAGAAGCTGATAAATCTGAATTCTACATTGAAAATACCACTGAGCTTCTCTAACTTTACTAGCCATTAAGAAGTGGGCTTTAGTTCTATGAGAGCAAGTAGAACATCGTTATCAATATGACCAGAATTAAAGGTGACTACATAAGCTTCATGGATTTCTTTACGATTGTGTACAATTACTTTAAGTGAATGATAATAGCTTAAGAATTCAAATTATAACAATATTAATGATAGAGAATTTAATTTGCCCTATAAAGTTATTAAACTTATATTCTGCTAAAAATTTAATTCTAAATTAATATTAAATTTAATTATCAGCCTTAATTAATGGATAAGTACTTAAACGCTATAAAATTAGGTGGAGTTGCAGTAGCATCCTTAGGTAAATTATTGATTTCTAAAATTGATCTCTAGTTGGCATATATGCACTATTTAAAGTCTCTTAGTAAACAATAACTTTTAAGATCGATGAGTCCATGTATTCTAAATAACATCTACTCCTTATTTTGGAGGACTTAAGAATGGACTATACCCCTTACTACATTCACTACTATCACAGTCTAAAGGCTATTCAGTAGGAATATAGAACTAGACCCAAATTGATCCAAGATTTAACCTAGAAGATTAATGAAAAACTCAATGATAAAATCATAGAAGTACAATAAGAGTTATTAAAGAAGTACATGATTGAAGAGAGAACATTACATAGTTGGATTGATCACTATATTAGCGACCCAAGCATTAAGTCTCAATTAGACTTGATCGACATTAATAATGATAGATTATTTGGAGAGGTACTATAGGAACCCAATTTCAATTTAGAGTTCCCATCAACTCTTACAAAGGAAGTTTATATGAAGATACTGAAAAAGGTTTTCGCTACCATAAGACATAGAGTTTACAAGTAGATTAGAGATATCGTAAGACCAAGGCCAGATAAATATATAACAAAAAATGAGTTAAAGGATATACTTCATAATCTAGACTTTTAAAATATAAGGGCAAGAGTTTATACTATGTATGGTCTACCTGAACCCACTCCAAGATAACCCTCTCATAGAATTCTTCAAAAGGCTCATTATACTTATATGATTGATAAGGAATTCATGTAAGAAATCAGAGAGACCAAGTAAGCTCATGAAAGATTTATGACTTAAATTCTTGCCTCAGATGTTTTCCCAGGCTTAGATACAAAAAATCCATTAGATAGTTCAGAAGAAGAAGTGGTTCCAGCTAGATTTGGAAGTAATTGGTATGAATTTAAAAATAAAAATGAAGAAGATAATGAAAATGACTATGAAGAGGAAGAAGGTAAAGATCAAGAAATTGATAATGAGAGAGTATTTGCATCAAAAATAATTGATAAGGACAATATCTAACTCACAGAATTGGATACACATATTGATCAATAAAAGAGATTACTATTCCAAGAGACAAAAATGAGGGTAGCACCAGAGTAATAATCTGAAGAATAGTTTAATTAATGAATATTTAGAATATTTCATGCTAAAATTGGTTTATTCAGTGTGATGGGGTTTTGGGGTTTTGGGGTTTTGGGGTTTTGGGG